CTGGTCCTGCGGGAAGTCTAATCAGCCAACATTATTTTTATTTATGTTTTATTGAGGTAAAAACATTGGTTTATAATATGATGTAAGTTTCATGTGTATAACATTGTATTTCTCCTTCTGTGTGCCCTACAGTGTGCTCACCACCAAATATTTGGTTTCCATCCATCACCAGACAGTTGATCCCTTTACCCATTTTGCCCCCTCCATCCCAAACCTTTTCCTCTGATAACCACTAGTCTATTCTCTGTATCTATGTGTTTATTTTTGTTTGGTATGGTTTGTTCATTTATTTTGGGGTTTTGTTTGTTTGTTTTTTATATTCCACATATAAATGAAATCATATGGTATTTGTTCTTTCTCCATCCAACTTATTTCACTAAGCATAATGCTCTCTAGGTCCATCGATGTTGTTGCAAATCACCCATTATTTTTTTAAGTAAGCTTTTCATTGAAACTTGACATAATATAAAAAAATGCAACAACAAAAAACCCCATAAATAATCAGCTCAATGAATTTTCACAGGGTCAACAGCCATGTGGCTATCACCTAGATCAAGAAATAAAACATGATCACCACCTCAGAAGCTAACAAGTAAGGGGGATGGGGGGAAGTTCTTCGTGATGAAGGGATTCTGAGGGCACTGAGTTTGGGTTATGATGCCTCCTTCTTTAAATGTTAGCTCTAAAGTTGAGGAGGAGATGAAACGGCCTGGGTTCTGCCCTCGCCTTGATTCTAGCCACCTGAATTACCTTTGGCAGGTCCATTCCTCTCTCCCAATCTCTGTTTCTCCTTGTGCACAATGGGAGGCTTGACTAGCAATCCACTATGGTCCTTCAAGCTGGAACAATGTGGTTTTAGGACTTGCCACAAATCTCACAGGATAGGGTGAGGTGGGGGAATGCATGATGGATGTGGAAGGAATCCCTGGTGTAGAGAGATGCCCTAGCCCCAAGCTGTTCCCAGGACTGCTGGAAGCCACCTCCACTGAACTCTTCAGAAAACTGGTGTCCTGGGAACTGGTCATCACTGCTGTGTTACAAGCAGTGTCCACCCAGCTGGTGTTCGGTCTTTCTGCCTTAATCCAACTCTGGGTGTGCTGTGAGGGGCTGCCAGGCTTTACAGGGTCAGAGAAGTGGACACACAGCCAGGGACTAAGGATTTCAGAGTATGGACTTAGATGCACTTGGGTGCCAACCTTGATATTACCACAGACTGACTGTGTGACCTTGGATGAGTCACTTATTTCATTCTTTATTTTTTAATTCTTATTTTCCATTGAAGTGTAGCTGATTTACAATGTTAGTTTCAGGTGTACAGCAAAGCAATTCAGTTACACACACACATACATACATATTTTTTCAGTTTCTTTTCCATTATGGCTCATTACAAAAATTTAAATATGGGTCTCTGTGCTATACAGTATGTCCTTATTGTTTATCTATTTTATATATAGTGATGTGTATCTGTTAAACCCAAACTCCTAATCTATCCCTGCTACCACCACCATTTCCCCCCAGGTTATCACATTTTGTTTTCTATGTCCGTGATTCTATTCCTGGTTTGTAAATAAAATCTGTATTTTTTTAGATTCCACATGCAAGCAACATCATATGATATTTTTCTTTCTCCATCTGACTTACTTCATTTAATATGATAATCTCTAGGTCCATCCATGTTGTTGCAAATGGCATTATTTCATTCTTTTTATGGCTGAGTAATACTGCATTGTTGTATGAGTCATGGAACCTCCCTGACACTCAGTCTCCTTATCTATGTAATTCGAAGGAGACAATCACCTACCCGAAAAGTTTTCATGCAGATAAAATGAGCTAATCTTTGTAAATATGCTAGGCATGCTGCCTGGCATCCACGTGCTAGTAAACCTTAGCTGTGCGCTCCCCAATACTAACCCTTCAACAAGGGTGCTGTAAATCTCCCAGGCTGCCCAGGGCAGGGAGTCAAGAATCTGCAGCCTAGAACAGAGATCTAGGGGGATACAGGTTTGCTCTGCAGCTAAGCCTAGGCTAGTCCCACTTACTTTCTCTTCCACTCCCTCTTAACCTTCTGTCCCCTGGTACTGGAACAATTCATTTCTCATGATTGCCAGAGTAATTTTATCTCTGTAAAATCCATACTCATCTCCTGGCAATTTAATCTGAGATCTAATAATAATTACCAATGTAATTATAATTAATGGGAATGCTTAGAATACATCGGGTGCTTTTTCTCCTACACTCCCCAGAAGGCTGTGGGTAAGAACAGGCTTCACAGTCCGGCAAATTTGGGCTTGATATACCCTCTAGCTGTGTGACCGCATACAAGTGACTTAACCTCTCTGGATGCAACTGAAAAGTGAGGAAGTTAGGCACCTTTATTCTCAATTCAACCATCCTTCTTTGGTGAGCCCAGGAAGCTCCCCAAATGCCCTTGCAGCTAGAGTTCTGGATGGGAATAAATTTCCACTAGATGGTGGTTCTCATGGGAGGTTTGGAAGGTAGAGCTGAGGGAGGCCTCTTCCTCCTGCTGAGGTAAGTTTGGTTGTTGTGACTGTAGGGGCAGCAAGAAAGTTGGTCACCAGCTTCAGGCTGGGAGAGGTGGTGTGACAGGAGCTGTGGTGGCAGCTGTAGCAGCTTCCTGTTGTCTCAGCCACATAATGGTCCTCACATTCAACAGCTTATTGTCACCCCTTCGTGTACTGTCCTCCAGCTCTTATCATAATCTTGTTAGCATGTGATTCCCTACAAAAATCCCCTTTTGCTGGAAATACCTAGAAAAACTTTGGTTCCTTGCACTGAACCCTAGCTGACATAGGATGATGAAACTGCTAATTTTTTTGGATATCATGAGGATTAGGCAAGCTATTAAATATAAAATATCTATCACAGAGGAAGCACTCAGCCAATGGCAGTCATTAATGTTTGCAATAAGACTGTTTAGCTGTTAAAATTTGGGGGAAACCAGTTCTGTAAATTGTATCTTGTGGCCCACTCACGTTAGCACGATTCCCCTCTTTTTTTCCAAGCAGTCAGCAGGCATCTATAACAAGAGGAAAATGATCCTTGGCTAATGTTGCTTTTCCCTTATGTTCTCGCCAACAATTCATGTTGCCTTAAGAGATTAGGCTTTTTATTGCTTGCCTCATTGCCCTGCTGTCTGCACCAAAGCTACGTCTTGGCTGGCTGGGCGTGTCCTTCTGATGGAGTCCAGGCCTACTGCATGGAGAGCAAGGGGGTTATTTGATCTCCTGACTGTGGCTCTTACAAGTCCCATTGAGAGTGTGCTTACCCACAGAGCCCTGCTATGCTAATTGGCCCAGAGTGCCCAAGAAGCAGAATTCCACCCAAAGAAAGGAGTGTTTCTTCTAGTAGGTTTTGGCATTTGGGAGAGGGCAGCCTCTAGGGGGCTCAGGGCTCAGCTCTGGGTCCCACCCAACACTTCCCAGGCCCTCAGAACTCAGAGCTAATGGCAGCAGCTTCTTGATCAGGGAGACGGGAAGTCGTGAGGGGCACCTCCTGCCTCCAGAGACATTTTCACTCAGCCTGGACTAAAGTCCTGGAATACAAGAAAACCCCTCTACTGGACATCTGTCAAGATGGATCCAGAGCCTGATATCCTGCCCAGTGAGTGCTGCTCCACAGACACTGCTGGCAGGAAGGCAGAGAAGGCAGCTAGACCCCACCCCTGACTCACACTTTTTTTTATTAAAAAGCTGAATGGCACTTTTCCCACTGTTAATTCTCATTACAGCTCTTTCTAAAAGGCACAGTTATCCTGCAAAGCCAACTTGGAAAATCATTAGACCCTGGAGAGGCTCAAATTCAATCCATTCCCCTGGCAAAAGCCTCATGAGAGTGGATTCCTGACAGTAGGTTCCCACAGCTCTGTGGTCACTGGTCTTGCACCTCTGCTCCCAGTCTCAGATCTCAACCCCGCCCTCCCAACTCCCAAACTCTTCAAACTTGCTTCAGGACTGTGCTGTTCATGGGCCACTGAATTCAGCACTACAAACCAGTGTGGAGATGCAGAAAGAGGAGGAGGAGAAGGAGGAGGAGGAAATGCACTCTTTGAAAAGTGACAAAAATTCCTTTCCTTTTACCTGAGTCCTTATCTCTCTGTTGAAAGTTGTATACCCTTTTTAAACAGTAGGGTTCTCCAACTCGGTATGCATGAAAATTACTAGAAGAAAACCATAATGAGATACTAATTCACATCTACTAGGCTGGTTAAAATAAAAAACATGGAAAATAACAAGTATTGGTGAGGATGGGGATGGGACCCTCATGCAGGGGAATGTAAAATGGTGTAGCTAGTGGAAAACACTTTGGCATTCCTCAAAAAGTTAAACAGAATTATCTGATGACCCATCAATTCCACTATTAGGTATATACACCAGAAAACTGGTAACAGGGACTTGAACAGATACTCAAAGACCAGTGTTCCCAACAGCGTTACTCACAATAGCCAAAATGTGGAGTGTCTGACCATCAATAGGAGAATGGGTAGACAACATGTGATATAATCATACAATGGAATATTATTCAGCCATAAAAGGAAAGAAGTTGTGACACATGCTACAATGTGAACGAAAATTGAATGAAACTTGAAAATATTTATGCTAAGTGAAATAAGCCAAACACAAAAGGGCACGTATTGTATAATTCCCCTTACGTGAACTATCTAGCATAGGCAAAGGCAGAGACAGAAAGTGGATTAGAGGTTACCAGAAGCTAGGGGAAACAAGGAATTACTGCTTAATGGGTACAGAGCTGCTGTTTGGGGTGATAGAAGAGTTTTGGAAACAGTGGTGATGCTGGCACAGCAATGTTGATGTGACTAATGCCTGCCATGGATTTTATGTTTAAAAATGGTTTAAACAGCATAATTACTCGGTCTGCTGGCTTTCCGAATGAAGTCACAATTCCTTGCCCCACCCCCCAAAAAAGGCAGATTTTATGGCATATACATAATACCACCGTTTATTGTTTTTTGTTTTTAAAAAATTACCTGAAGAGCTTGCTGAAATGCGTATTCCTGGAACCCGATCCCAGACTTGCGTCAGTAAGTCCAAGGTAGGCCCCAAGATGTGCCTTTTTAACCACGTCCTGAATTTCTTGAACCTTAACGGAATCTGGTATTTTTGCCGTAAAGAACTTTCCCGCAAGCAGTTTCACCGTGCGGGAAACCTGGCCGTAAGGCACTCCTGCCGTAAAAGATACAGTAACTGGTTGATTAGTTTGGTTTCGATGCCGTAAATGATGTTATAAAAGAGGTGGCTAGTAATTTACCACCGTCTTTGAAAGCATTAATTATCAACTCTTTTTTGCCTTTTTAAAAACTGAAATATAGTTGATTTATGATGTTGTGTTAATTTCTAGTGTACAGCATAGTGATTCAGTTATACATACCGGCTGTTACAAGGTGTTGAATATAGTTTCCTGTGCTATACAGTAGGACCTTGTGTTTATCTTAATTATCAACTGTTTAGCTAGTTTAGATACAACAGCTTGTTTTCTCACGCTGTCTTTACCAAATGATATGTCCATATGGTGGCACGTTACAAAGTCAAAAGGATAATTTTCAGGAGTCACTAAGGATATGTGCACAAATCCTTGCTATATCATATTGAGAAAACAAAAGTCACACATATATTTTTAAGTACAAGAATACTACTACATATATAAAATACACACATTATACATAGGAAAATGTGGGAAGGAAATATACTAAAATATTAAAGGAAGTAACTTGGGATGGTAGGATGAATGATCTGTTTCCAAGTTTCTACACTGAGCATGAATGCTTTATATTTGTTTTTGACACAGCATTTCCATGGACCTGACAATTTATTTAAAGTGAATTTATTATTGAATATAACATACATACAGAAAAGTGACTGAATTGTGAGTCTGTGGCTCAGTGGATTGTCACTAAGTGAACACACCTGCACAACCAGCACCCAGATCAAGAAACAGACCATCAGCAGCCCTTCTGAAAGTTCCCCTGGTTCCCTTCCAGTCACTGCCACCCTCAGGGATGAACTGCTTCCTGATTTAAGCACCATAGGTTCCATTTCCTATTTTAAAACTTTATATAAACGAAATCATGTGGTGTGAACTCTTTTTCTGTCCGGCTGCTTTTGCTTAACGTTATTGATGAGATTCATCAATATGGTATGTCGTTGTAGTATATTATAAAGAGTATATATTATTTTTAAAATCATAACGTTATTTAAATAAAGATGGCAGCTGCTAAAAACCCAAATACCTTCCACTTCTCTATGAGTGCTTCTCTGCAGAACTTCTGCTAGGGAGGTAGACATGGCCCCCAGTCCCAGCCATGAAGGTTCTCTCTACCGATCGTTTCTCTAGGTCTTAGAGGATTTGTGCCAACCCCATCATCCTCTGGCTCACCCACGACCACCAATGACACATACTGGTCATTGATTTGAGCCCCTCGATGAAGAGACTGGTCAGATAGGATGGGGAGGGGTCATGTGCCTATTGCACAAGGCTGAACAGGAAGTGGGGCTCTGGGTGTCCAGGTCAGGTCCTCCTGGAGGGAGGTCTTCCCCTCTGTTCCCGTGGTGACCATGGCTGACACACCACTGGCAGAAAGACAGAAGCTTCCTGGCAAAAGTAGCCTCATCTGGTCCCCCGGCTTGTCACATTCCTCACCTCAGGGACATTCTTTAATTTCTCACACTAACCTGATAAAGGAGGGACTGGCTATCAAGATTGCCCAATTTATCACCACAAGACTGAAAGTGAGAGAAGTTACCTTGTGTACGGGCACAATCTGGGCTTTGAACTCAGGTCTGTGTGACCCCAGGAATGCCCCTCAGGGCCACTTCCCTGCCCTTCTCATCGCTGGCTAAGATGGCTCATGAGTCAGTCTCCAGTGAGAGACTCCGTTTGGTGGTCTGGTCGCAGCCAGTGTTATGATCAGGCAAGTCATCATCTCTGATGATGTGTCAGTTGGTTTGACCATAAAACAGGCAGCTCAATACCTCCCTTCTTGCTCCAAGCCCTACCTCCTCCAGCCAGCAGGAATCTCTGGAAACATGTTCTGGAAAAACGGAGGCATTTTTACGACTCTCTCCTCACCTAAACCTGCTGGGCTGGGACAGAGCACAGACCCTTGGGCTCTGACCGTTATCCTACACTTTGGACCCAGGCCGCCCCTGGCTTTGATGTTGTGTTGGTAAATGTCCCTGAGTCATCAGTGGGCTCTGATCTCTCCAGCACCTAATAATTCAAACAGCCTAGGTCAGTGAGCAGCTAATCAGCTGGGCAGCCCCTGCAGCTGCACAATGAGGTTGCGGGGGGGGGGGGGGAAGAGGGTGCTTTCTTTCTTAGGGTCTCATTCCACGACCTGATGACCAAGGCAGACGCCTCTGTCCACTAGCCCAGGGGTGAGGTTAATTCCTGCAAGGACCTGGGCGGGGATCTGCCTGGATGTGGCGGCAGTCACACAGTTTGAATCATGGCTGTCCTGGCCAGGCCATCGGGTGGGAATTAAAATTTAATTTAGAGGGTCCTGTCTCTGCGGCCCTGGTGGCCGTCGTCTGGGTGATTGACTGGCTGGTTTCTTTCACCTTTGGACGCCTTGGGTTTTTACTGGCGGAGGAAATGAAGGCTGAACTGGGGCAGGAAATTCCATGTACACAGGTGTTTCTGGTTAGCCCTGTGCACCTCGCCCAGGGGCACAATGAGGGGCCAGGGATGCCTGTGTGAGCCTGGGGCCTCTGAGGCCCAGCAGCTGTCAGGGCTCTGCATCTGAAGAAGGCCGGGCAGGGCACTCAGGTTGCCACAGGGTGGACCAGGGTACCAATGACTGATCCCCTGCCTGGCCCTGAGAGCCCAGTGACTGCCCGCAGCTGATATGGGACCCCATGGGCAACTTGGCGAGAGCCACCCCGGCCTCTGTGCCTGCAGTGGGCGGCTGGTTGCACCAGGCCCTGACCTGGGAGATTAGCGGCGCCCTGAGGTGGTGTTTACACGTTGTAGCCAGCACTTCATGTGGCTGACCTGCCCCCATTTTCACATCTTCTGAAGGGCTTAGAGATCCAAAAAGCATGCCCTCCCTTGCTTAAAGGGTCCCTGGAGGGGTTGAGGAGGGCAGTCTTGGGCTTGGCCAGAGAGAGCCATCTGCAGGCTTATTTCAGAGGCTGAAGAAGTGACCTTCCTTGTCCCGTAATTATCTCTGTGCTGCCATGAGGGCATTTCCACCGTTAGTCATTCACCACCCTAGGTCAAGGCTCTCGGGACCTCTGTTAAACCCAGAATGTACCTGGAGGGAGGGCACATGCTGAGAAATGCACGAGGAAACACCCCTTCCCCTCCCACCTCAGTTTTCTCATCTGCAAAATGGGAATAAGAATCGAACTCTGCTGGGTTGGCGCATGGATGAATGAGAGGCCATTTGTAGAACATCAGGACCACAGCGGGTACTAGCACACAGAGAATCTTCACACAGGTCTGGACTGGCATCCATCTCCTGGGAACATCTCCAAAAGAATTGCTCAAAAGGAAAAATACATTATAAATAGTTCAGGGTATTAGTTTAAACACAGTAAAAAAAATTGTAACCAATTAAAATGCCCATCTATTGACTTTAGACTGAGGCAGGTCATTGATGATGTAGCAAAAAGCCAATAAAATCAATATGACAGGTATGAAACCATATAAAGTGCCCAGGAAATAACTGGAGAAAGCAAGTCTATGCACCCTGATTATGACTGTGGGAAAGGCACACCCTGAAGAAGGCAGGAGGGAGATGTAAGTAATTGTTTATATAAATATATTTAAGTCACTCAATATTTAAAAAATAAAAGTGAAAAATAAATAAGAATAGAGATAGATATGAATGTGCCTAAGTTATCAAGTTCCCGCTAAGAAGAGACCCCCATGTCATCAAAACAGGACAAGATGTATATGGTTGCAAAGGCTGGAGAAAATCCTGCAGCTGGGGCTCTGTGCATGCAGAGGACATAAAAGCAGGGTTGTCAGCAAATGCTGGAGAGGCTGTGGAGAAAAGGGAACCCTCCTACACTGCTGGTGGGAATGCAGTTTGGTGCAGCCACTGTGGAAAACAGTATGGAGATTCCTCAAAAGACTAGGAATAAACTTACCATATGACCCAGGCATCCTGCTCCTGGGCATATATCCAGAAGGAACCCTACTTCAAAATGACACCTGCACCCCAATGTTCATAGCAGCACTATTTACAGTAGCCAAGACATGGAAACAGCCTAAATGTCCATCGACAGATGACTAGATAAAGAAGATGTGGTATATTTAT